TGTATTTGAATGTGCAGGTACTCGTGTAATATAATTCTCGATATATTTCTTGAGGCAGACCACAGCACATGACGTGCCTGCGTCAGTGTCCTACCTACCAAAAAACTGTTTTCATGTAACATAATATGCTACTTACCGAGAAATAAAATATACCTAATTGTCATACTTACTTTTATATTTTTATATAATTTTATAGTGGGAAAGTAGTGACTTGAGTTGTTAAGATAACCAACATAATTATAACGGTGACAATAGCTGAATAGTAAAAAGTCATCGTAATAACTTGTAAATACCCGCCAAGACACGATAACATACTTTTAATCTTTAGATATTAAATTATTTTAGTCTGTGTTGTGTCCTTTCACGTTGCTGTGATTTGTTAGACCGTCAATGTAATTCCTTGCTGTAGTAACGGTTTGCCACCCCACAATTAGGTCTATATTTATTTTCGTATTTTTTTTTTTWTTTTAAGCACAGATGTTAATATCAATTATAAATATGATACCTACTATAGGTATTATCATTTATTTAATTTGTTTCGATAAGTATTATATATATAGTACTTACTCAATTTMAGTTTTATTTAAAAAGTCATAAGAAGAAAATAATAAAGTATTTACTCAAATAAAAAATGTATACTTACTTTAGAATAATCGATAACCTTTCCATTGCCGGTATTGTATCACCTTTGATATTTTTTATTTTTTCAAGTCACTTTTTACAATATTAAATAGATCATAAAATGTTTTTATAGGCATTTTATGATAACTAAAATATTTTCCGTCAACTCCACCCCCCTAACGGTAAATACGTAGCAGTACTTATCTATCTCTCACAAAAAGTAAAGGCTTAAAAATACTCTTAATTCAATCATTTTATAATCTATAKACTATTCAATTCCCAATTGACTCAAGTTCACCCAGATTATGAAATAGAAGTTCATATTATAAATTGTTATTATAGTCTTTGATGAACAGTTTAAAACTCGATAATATATATATAATTTTATTATAATATTAATTAAATATTGTTTAATACTGTATAATAATAGTTATAATATTAATTATTAACATATTTAGTTTTTTTTTTTTTTTTAATTACATATTTATTATAATACGACTCGTTATTAATTATAATTATAGATATAATACCATATATCAATATGACACTCTATCAAACAATAAAATGTAAATGATAATCACATAAATATATTATATAGGTATTTTAAATAATGAATATAATAAATAAGTCCAAATACCCATTTGTTAATGTTGAAAACTTAACTTATAAAATATGACGTCAACGTCATGACTTATAGACTTAATTKTTAGTATAATATTATTGATGTAAAGAAAAGTGAATTGAATTATCAATTTATTCTAATTGTGGTTTGTCTATTTTGGGTAAATACTTCTGGATATTAAATCTCTTTTCTATGAAATCTAATCCAATACTACTGACGTTTACCTGCTCATAATTATCTATCTCAATAATCATAGAGTACAGATTATGAATTTCAATTTTTTCAATGGTACTTGTCAAATCATAGCCTATTAATTTTAAGTCGATCATAATGTTTTGAATTGTTTCGTCATTTATGTTCTTGAAGTTATATGAAGCTTCCTGTACTTTTTCTTTGGTAGTCTCKAATAATGTTGACAAGAACTGCAYTATGGTATTGCGTATTGTTGTTGACATTTTTGTTTTTGTGCTATTCAATATTTCATTATTTGTTTTGAAAAACTCATTAATTTCATCATTTAACTGACTGTAAATATCTATCGGATGACCGAAGAAAGCCAATTTGCTCAAGAAATTCACTATCGACAACTGGATTTTGGATATACAAACCCGTATGGCTGCCGGGTCAGCTTGCTTACTTTCGGCGAACTTAGACGTCAAGTAAGAGTGCACCATCAACGTTGTCATGAACTGATTGTTTAACGCAATGCCCAATACTCGTATGCCGTACATAATCTGTGAACCCGTYGTTCCCTCGTGGGTGACCAACCGCTGGATGATCGCATTCGGTGTGATCCCGGCATCCGGTTCTTGGGTCAGTTTCAGGTCGGCTAACATGGTGTCAAAGTCCACCWCTTTCACATCCAGTTTCTGGGTGAGGATTGTTGTCCAGTCATTGTCGTTGGCCAACACCCAACGTAGTATGTTGGAGGCCGCTTTCAGAGGTTCAGGAGTGGATACGAAACACCGGACGGTCACCAGAACGCTCAGGATCACGACGCACTGCATGCACAGAAAACGCATCGTCGACGTGTAGACTCAGRCGGCGACTTCGAAACTGCACGTTTACAGTCGACAAGAATTTTCTTTCGCCGCTATGGTTCGTGAAAACATCGTGTGTGCGCGACTACAGCTACTGCAGCATACACTTACCCACCTACCCACACTTGTGGGTACGACGTTACACTACACGCGTGTGTGCAACCGGTTGTTTGTTTTCACGAAAACCRCTGAGTATAGCAAACATGCGTACTTGGCATATTTGGTTCGATGACATGTGCGCGAACCTGCGAAATGTGTTCAATAGTCGACACAAATAATGTATTAAATTATTATTAATATAGCTRTAGCTATACCTAACCTATAGGTAGTGGTAGTTACTGTAATACATCGTTTCTCAACCTTTTTAGTGTAGCGACTCCCAAAATAGGTATAAAATATGGTCACTTCGCGACCCCCCCTCCATCTATATTAAATAAAAATTTGAACAGTAAAGATAGGATTATCATTATCAATATTAATTTTAAATCAGCGTTTTATTATTTTTTACCTGTGCGACACCGAGTCAAAGTGTTCGCAATCCCCTGGTTGAGAAACGCTTCTGTAATATAATCAATAGCGCCAATAGGTGAACAATATATTATTACTTGATGCGCTCATAAAGTATAACAACTAATAACTAACAAGTGTTGTTGTGTTTGGTCACGACTGTCCGATAAAAATTGAAACAAATAACCGACTTGGCTTAAATAAATATTRCGTTTATTATACTGATAACATGGTTTCGCTTAAAATTTTCTSTCACCRCCACTGTATTAGAGTTTTTATAAAAGAAACAGATGTCAGGTTTATTTGATATAAGACATTCGAAATGTAAATATTTCGGTATCGCCACTGACTTGATACTTGCACACTGCAGTTCAGTTATAAGATTCCTTTGACTGTGTATATTTATATATATTTTATTTAAAATATGTAGCCATGTAGCCTAAGCCTTATTAGTTATAATTATCATTACAACATCATAAAGATGTATTAAATATGCAATGTTATTGCCCAGGTTAAATATAAAAATGTATTAATTTAATGGTTCACTAAAATTTAAAGATCCAATCATGGGCCACTAAATCATGTTTAAGGCATCATTAGCTCACTAGTGATTCATGATGAGTGATATTATTCATGAAGTGATACATTCGAATTAGATGTGAGGTAAGAGTAGCTGGATTAATAGGGAGGAAAAATAGTTGATTTTCCAAGGCCCAAAAAGAAGCATCTTATCAAGCATTTAAGATTTTTTTTAACTTATAGGTATTCCTGTTTATTCTTTATTATTATTACAAAATGTATGCATTTATAATCTGATACCAAACATACCAAAATTAAAATAAAAACCAAAAAGTTATCGACAATAAAATATTCAATTAATTAAACTATTTGTCACATTTATAAATGTTTTTAGATTGTATTATGCGAAAAAAAGTAGTTCACTCGAATTCGAATAATATTTACATGCGTGTAAAGTTGCGTGAGCCATCTGCAATGCAAGTTATTTATTGTTTTTTTTATTGTTTTGTACKCAAACACAGGTTTGGAAAAAGAATTAGAATTGTAGAGATAGAGTTATTTCCTAAAATCTCAATTTGTAAGTTGTATTTAATATTACATTATTGATGTAATTACGTCTTACATAATGCATATTATACAGCAATAATATACAGACTGATTGAAATGATAAACTGATTTTTATTATATTTAACTTATAAACATTAAAATTTGTCAAACTAAAATATGATAAATTAGAAAACAAATCATTTTTATTTTATTTTTTTAATGTTCGTGTTTTTTTTTATTTATTTTTTTTATCGGCAGTCAATTAAAATAGGTCCATTTTAACTTTTCTCACATTTTTTTAATCTAATAATTATAAAATCTAAAATATATGACATTCGTAAGTGTTCGTTTAAAATATAAAAACTCTTTAGATACTTATTTCATTATTCTACTTTAAACGAAATATAAAATAATTCTTAATTCAATAGTCAATAAATAATGTTCACTGCTAATATGTATTTACTTATAAATATTTCAGGGTCGGACCTCCAGCCACTCATCCAATTACTGTCTTATGCGTAGGTATACGAATCGTAATATTACGTCAGTGGCCACTGCGTGTTTCTATAATATTTCCAATTGTGTCAAGAAGAATAAAAAAAAGATAGTAATATTTTCAATACAATGATGTATAACGATGTGCCTTATAAATAAAATACCTATCGAAAATATTGGAATATCATACGCTCCTCATACTGATATATATAATACGTATTTTTTTTCTGACATTATTTAGTATAATACCATAGACCAATCCAAAAATATAGATATATGTTCTTGATATCGTTTTATCACCAATCATGTTTTGCATAAAAGAAAAATCCTAACAGAATAAGTTCAGAAATTGTTCAGAACAATTTATTTTTGAAWTAAGTAATTTTTCTTAAACATTATAATAACCATAACTATCATAGTATTCAATAATTTAACTTTTAAAATTATATTAAAAAAATAAAAATATGTACGGTATTATCCTAGGCCTTTTAGTCAAACCTCAAAATATGAATAACAACAAACTAAGTCTTGAGAAATTTTTATTTAAAATATTTATTTTTTTAAATTTTAAATGAACAAGTGTGACTAGTGTAACTATATAAGCACATGTATATATCATATTTTTATACGGAATTAATACACATTTTAAACACTTAGACCATAACGTATAAGAGTAGGACATATTAAAAATATATACGATTATGTATTTAAGTGATCAAGTAAAAAGCATAAATACACTGATAAATACACCTACATATAACATTAATTTTTTAAATGATATAGTTTTCTTTCTTTTAATTTGATTTAGATGTTCAGTTATTCTTTTAATAGTAAGGAATATCTCATTAGTCATTACCGTGTATTAATGAAAATCCTATGTGTTTGATGCTTTTATAGGAAACAATATTATACGATAAGATATAGGAAAAAATTAGATTTTTATTTACATTTCAACAAGACATKYTTTCATATGTTTGAATAAATTACAATCAGAGTTAAAAAAAATTTAATTTTTATAAAGTTATTTCGTTAAGAAGTAACGAGAGGCAGCAGAATCCATCGAGTGATGTTTAATAGTCGTACTACTTCCAGAATACAGCTGAGGATAGTCACGAGTGAAAGCGGCCGTTCATGGGTAGTAAGTGTACGGAGAAGCCAAGGTCTTGGCTACGTACGGGTAAGTGGTGTACGACGAGACGTATGGAGCGGCGTGTGGAGAAGCGATTGCGTAAGGGGCAGCGGCGTATGGGGCGGCCACGTAAGGGGTGGCGGTGTATGGTGAAGCGGCCACGTAAGGCGCTGCGGCCACGTAAGGTGCAGCAGCCACGTAAGGTGYGGCGGCGTATGGTGCAGCGATGGCCACGAAACGTTTGCTACGATCGGCGCCAGAAACGGCCGATTGGGCCGACGTCGATGGCGATGATGATTTGATTTCTTCAGTTGCGGGGGCGGCAGCGGCGAAGCACATGACCGCGGCGAGCACTGCGAAAGTCACCTAAAACACGCATAAGACGCATTTTCTTACATTATTTAGAATTGTATTATGCATAATATAGCCATATTAGTGGTTTTCAAGTGATAGGTAGGTATTCGCATTAAATCCGGGTACGTCATTCGTTGTATAAATAACATATTTTACGACATTCCGATCGAAATATATATACACATGAATGTATGATAAACGTTATCAGGTGGTTCCGAAACGGATGGCAACACTTAAGAAAAGATTGATTTTCAAGAATGATTTAGATCATAAGTTAAATGTATTTTACGACTAATGGAAACAGTTTTATCTATTATAAATGGTTAGAATGGTTAGTTAAAGTTAAAGAACACTGATCAACACTATTAGGTATCATTATTATTCAATATTCATTATTCATATCTGCAGCCTACTACATCTTCCTTCCGCCATAATAAACTACCGGATATTTATTGAATTTATAATGTTAAGATGATAATTTGATAACTGATTGCGAAAAATGTGATATCAAAAAATTATTTTGATAATATAGACGTCATAATAATATGTCGTTCATTATAATGTGTACCTATAGGTGTACATTTAAGTTAGACCACATTATAATATATAATGTATATAACACTGATATTTTCTAGATCAACGGACTTTATTGGAGTTATGCTGTTATAAAATAAGATATTTATGTGTTTATTGCGTATATTCAAAATATTTAGACACATGAGAAACAAGCAAAAAGGCAGTAAAAATATCAAATATATCAGATCATGAAATGTTTATCTATTGAATAGTGTCGTTTGAAAATTTGAGCGGAGATTCGTCTTAATATTTTCTTTATCGACTTACTTGGAACTGCATGGTGATTTTGTTTATGAGTCGGCTTGATTTTCTACGTCGAATGAATGCGACTGAAGACAGACGAATGACTGATACTTAYCACCAGTCAGATGATCCGTTTTATACCATTCGCATTTACACTGCGCTCAGTGACAGTAGTGTCCATAAATTATCATTCTGCTCACAATATTCATATCCAATTAGAAAACGGACACCAGTGCCAATATTGTGTGAACAAATGAAATCTATTTAACCAGATTTCGTTATGACCTTTACGCTACGGATTAAAATTACTGAGGTGTGGTGTTGAAAGATATACATATTTTATATAATTATTTATATTATGTTATGTCATATTGTTTTTATGTCGTTTGCACCGGCCTTTGATCGCGAAATCGTCTGATTGGCTACTACGTCTGTCGACAGTTTCGTAAAATTACTTTTCTACATAATATTATATAGTTAAGTGAATCCGTTAAGAAAAATATAAAATTATACATACGACATATTATTATTACATGTTTTGTTTTTGTTCTGAATACGACACGTTATTTGTATTTATTTAATGTTTTAATTTTTAAATTATACTAGTAGGTATAGTTAATAGATAAAGTATAAACTGATAGTAATCTGAAACGATACGAAGTAGCTGCTAAAGCATTCATTTAATCCAATATGTTGCATGTATACGTACAGCGTACACACTAATACATATAATTTGATAGTTAGAAATGTATCAAATTTGATATGATTGAGACTTTAATATGAACATATGAAATTGAAATAAATATTATAATTATATGTTRTATAAAATTACAAGGAATTACAACTATAGACTACACAACTGAGAATATAGGTACACTCTGCTATTGGGACCAGCTGCGAGTATGAATACTTTTTTGATTTGTCTTTACCAAAACCTAGAATGGACCTTCTAGTATTCTACCATAGATGCACGAAAGGGTGATTATCAGGGAAATTAKCCCCCTGGCTTTTCAGTTTTTTTTTCATTGAGTGTATTTTAATAATTTACTATATAATTAATTGGAAGTGATTAAACGAAAAATAAATAAGGTCTCCAATCTCCATTATAGAAGATCCTRATAAAAAAAGTTAACAAATAATATATACTATATTTTATGTATTATCTATTAGGTACCGATCAATCATTGTTTACTAACAAACTTGCACCCTATACCCATGAGAGCCGAGGATATCATCTATATAACTCCCCCATACCGATTCAATTTCTATTAAACTAAACGAATAACTGATAGACATTATTTATAGCGTATAGCCTATATTTATTATTCGCTATGTTATTGTATAGCCTTTAAAAACTAATTTATTGTATATTTGTATTGTTTTATCAGACTATCGTTATCGAGGAAACCGATAAAGAAAGAGATGATGTACTTCGACAAAAGAGGACCGGTCAAAAGCATTATTCGTTTGATGTAGTATTCGATGAAGATTCAACTCAGGTAAAAAACACAACGAAACCTATTAAATTTAACGAGGTTGAATTGATAACTAAAACTGATACCTGCATCTGCATGATATATTATGATAAAATCAACAGTAATTTTATCTAATACTCTCATTTTATGATATACTAATACTATATAAATGTATTTTTAATATTAACATTGATTAATTTTCATCTTATATCAGATTTTGCACTGTACAAAATATTTACAATAACTAAACACCTACAAATGTATAATACATAGCATAGGCGCACATTCAGTCTTAAACTTGGGAGTGCTAAAATCTTTTACCTCAAAGTGACTAGTGGGAGACTTTGCTCTCCAGTCTCCACACACCACCTATACGGTTACACTTACTATTTCAAATTTACTACATTACTACATTAAAATTCTCAAATTAATGAATCTGATTTACAATATATCCTATAACCGATCATTATAACGACTATTATAATATTATTAAATTAACAATAGTGTTTATGGGTGCTAAGCACCCCCTGGCACCCCTGTATGTGCGCCAATGATACATAGCTATTATAATAAATGCATTAGGTATACAAAACTATATCGAAATATGATTTATATTATATGATTTTGAATTAGTTTGAACTTAAATGWTAAAATATATATTTTATACCTATATAACCTAATAATATGTACAATATTTTTATAATAGTACATTTAAACTTAAATTTACATATCCAACGAAGTAATTCAGACTGTCGTTTACTCGTAATTATTTAAACAAATAAATAAATATAATATAGCCATTGCAGAGCCATGTTTATAATAAAACGATGATGGTGACTACGGTCTGTAATTTTTTTAAATTAAATTCGTTCAGGATGAAGTGTATGAAAAGACAACGAAAAGCTTGGTGAAAGACATACTCGTCGGTTTTAACGCCACCGTGTTCGCGTACGGGGCAACGGGTAGCGGTAAAACACATACGATGGTTGGACATGGCGGTGAGACGGGCATCATGGTCCGAGCCATAAGCGATTTGTTCGACATTGTGAGCAAAAACGCTTACCGATACACGGTGAGTGTAAATAAAACATTTAATTATATCTATGGGCGCTACGGCTGCTGTAGATACCACAGTATTATGTTATACGCAATACGCGCAACACGTATCGTTTTTCTAGCAGGTATATTATTATATCATCACATCTATCTATTACAGTAGGTAGATGCCTACTTATTATGCACAATGTGTCAATGTATATTATATAGTTTGCCACGAAGTCATTGTAATGTATGGTTAAATGCGTTGGTAGGTACCTACTATGTGTTATGAATATTGCACCGCCACGGTCGCGTCGTTTGCTATGTGTAATAATATGTAGTCGACCATATTGGTAACTCAAAGTATAAAGGGGAACATAAATTCAAGTTATTAAAATCTTCGAGATATCGAAACCATTGGCATTTTAAAGAGAATTTTTTTTATATGAATTATCGAGAATTTTGAGTCTTTGAGACTTTGAGTYGACTTTGTACTAAAGTTACTTGTTGAACAAACCATGGTATAATATGCCCGTATGATGGGTACGTCGCGTYGAAGTCTAACTATGATTTAAAATTTTAAACTTTAAGTACATTGCACATCATATTTATACGAAATTAACAAATACCTGAAACCATGACCTCTAAAGTATAAGTATTTTATAGCATTGTAATTTATAGACTGAGTGAATATTTCTGTTCATGCATTCTTTAACATGTATTATATGTATTTTATTCAATGAGTAAAATAATTTAGAAATATTTTAGCCATCAAATAAAATTAACTGAACTCAAATTTACGTAATGTTGATGAAATTCAAACTCTAAGTTGACATTATTTATATTATTTGACCAATTGTAAAATCACTTTTTTTTTAAACATTTTTATGAAAATTTAATTTTTATAATAATTTCAATTTTCTGAAACTCTCTTAACTTATATAATATGTAAATCAATTAATTTGTTAAACGATGTTATTACACCTTCAATAACGTTTATAATTTTTAATCATCTCAATGGAATATTTACACATATAGTTATGTTTATTTAACATATTTTAACAATCGAGTATTGTACCTAATTAATATTATCCACTGGTCATTCTAACTTTAAATAACAGAGGGGTGGTGAATATAATATAGTTGAGTATATACTTGAGTTATATTAATCGGTTATAATTTCAATATGATATCTAATAATAGAACTCAATTTTAATACTAATTAATAAAATATTAAGAATTGTATTTTAAGTTATATACTAATATTGGAACTGTGTGTGCACAGGTAAAAATGTCGTATTTAGAAATATATAATGAGAACATCCGGGACCTCCTGAACCCGGCGTCGGGTTTCCTGGAGCTCCGCGAAGATACGTCCAGGAACCGGAACATCCAAGTGACCGGACTCTCGGAAGTTGTAGTAGTATCCATCGACGAGGTGATGGGGCTGCTGCACCAGGGTAACCGACAACGTACAGTGGAGCCGACGGGTGTAAACAAAACGTCTTCCAGAAGTCATGCGCTACTAAGCGTCACGGTGTGCAAGGCATCCAGAACGGCGACGGCCGTTCGGCAAGGCAGGCTGTTCATGATCGATCTGGCGGGTTCTGAGAGAGCCAGCCACACCAAGGTACGAAGACGTAATGATGAGTCGCGATACGACGTAACTATTTCCCCTGAATTTAATATAACTTGCAGACGTTCAATATTCACTGCCTCTACGAAATTTCAGGAACTTTTTGTTTTAAATGAAACATTAAGCCACTGCACGCTATCAATTAAAATTATTATTAGTATTAATGTATTAATAATATAGTATGTTGACCTATAAAAATATAATATTATTATTTCAGAACCGAGGAAAACGGCTAAAAGAAGGGGCGCACATCAACAGGTCTCTGCTGGCCTTGGGAAACTGCATAAACGCACTAAGTGGAGGAACGAACCCCCGATTCGTAAACTACCGTGACAGTAAACTCACCCGGTTGCTTCGTGAGTCGCTGAGTGGAAATTGTAGGACCGTCATGATTGCACACGTCAGCTCGGCGGCGTCACACAAGGACGAGACCAGGAACACTTTGATTTACGCCGCCAGGTAAGCGTTATTGTAATAAATAATAATTATTTATCTATTTATATTATTGTTTCTATTTATATATATATATAAATATAATATTATTTATTCATAAATTGTCAAGAAAAATTTAAGGGTTCTTTTCTGAGCATCGCCTAGAAGATTGCAAAAACTTATAGACTCACACGCAGCTAAATAATCACAATTTAATCACTAAATTCAGTATCGTTTTAAGAAGCAATAAGGAGGAAAATATTATTATGAACTAGAGTTAACTAACCATTAAAACAATTATTCTCTTTCCCATTACTTTATTGTATACACATTGTACCTACACTATGATTTACTAACTCTAGAATTCAAAGACTCATTAATAATCATTAGATATAACTTTGTTGTGAATCTTAAAATGGTTAAATTATTCATAGGGCTGGAATTTCGATAAAATGTTATTTTCTTCTGGTGTTATATACTTATATGAAACGTAGCTCGCTCTGTAAGTGGAAAACGTGTTTCAACCTTTAGGTAATACTCATTATTTTAATAATATTTTTATATTGCATTTTTTACACTACCTATTAAAGCATTTTCCCATGTTTTTAGAATATCTTTCACAATTTATTTTTTAATCAAACATAAATATTATTTTGATAAAAATACTATATTGAATATTGAAATTATAGGTATACTGCAGCCAATACTCACTGACCACCTTGTTCATTTATACCATAAGCAATAAGCAATTGGTACATATAAAGACTAAAATGATATTTGAATACATGTTTACATACTTATACGTTTTATTATACACGTTTAGTGTCATTAGTCTAAAATAATTCACTTTTTTAGGTACAATAAGTGTACATTACCTAACCTAACCTTTGTAAACTCTAAAATTACATTTTAAAAGATTTATGTTATTTATTTTATGCATTTTGTTTAGGATTATTTTTTTAAATTGTAAAGGACATTGTGATTCCCCCTAATGTTATGATCAYATAAGTAATACATAGTAATCCACCTATAAGTTAACAATAAGGCTCGTTTATCCTTTTTTCGCAGAGCCAGTGGTATTTCACACAAAGTCGAACGAAACGTTTTAAACGTGTCATTTCAGGTGAATCAGTACAGATCAGTCATATCTGACCTGCGTAACGAAATTTCTCGACTGAGGACGAAACTGGACGAGGGCCGTACAAAGTCTTCAAGCGGCCAGCACAGTGACACGCCTGTGAACCAGATAAGGGACCAGATTGTAGGCACTTTCCGCGAACAAATGAAGCTTAGGTACAGTACCTAGTTAGGTAAACTCTGGATTCTAGGGGCCGGGTCTAGGGTAGAAAATCAAGGTTTTATATAAATACATTTTCTTAATTTTGTTTTGCGTAAGTTGAATGCATCGATATATTTTTATTTTAAAATTCATGTTGAATACATTATTATTGACAGAAGGAGTAAGTAGAAAACAAAATCAAAGTATGTCCTTTATTCATCATTGAAAACAAGATAAGTGCAGCCCAAAAATAAATTTCACATAGATTTCAACTTAAAATGCTCAATTAAATTAAAATCTTTGACATTTTTAGAAATAGTTAAAATTATATCTATGATAAACTTTATATGAGCAAAAGCGACAATTTCAGTCGAAAATTGGCAATACACAAAAAAAGATTGTCGAGGACAACAATATCTCACAGCCATCCTTCTCATTTCTCAAATATTCACTTAAAAGTTCTTTGTACAAAAAGAGTTTAGTAGTCACTTCAGACAGCTTTACAGCCAATATACGTTGATAACGGCCGTGACAAATATTATAGGCGAAAGCTGATGGACATCGACGGACACTTGTTATCGTTAGGCGTAGAAGCCGAACGGCAACATCAGATAATTAGCCAATGGGAATCGAGAAACAATAAACTGTATTGCCGGAGGACCAGCACTCAACGAAGGCCGAACACTAAGGGTTCTAACAACACTTCAAGTAAGACAACAAAACACTAGTACACAAAACATATGRGGATCATAATTTATCTATTTTCAGAGAATTTTATTTAGCGTTTTGACCCACTCTATTCCTGAAATTAATTTTTTATTACAAAAAAAATTATGTTACATAATCTAGCACAGTAGCACACATTTTTTTTTTGTTGGTTAAGCTTCTGTTCTGGTTCTCAATACTCCTCACGATATATACGTAATTTTAATATGTAATTACGTTAAGTAAAATACTAAAATATATTTAGGTATCTATTTATTAGAATCTCTTTCCAGAGGTGGGTGAGTTAAAACGAATGAATTCAATGAAAATCATTAATTCAAGTTAAGTAAAGTAAAGTAAACACAATATCGTAAAGTTAGAAGTATATAGTTAACTAATGACATATATTAAACTTAACATTCTAAGATAATAATATGGTAAAAAAAATATTAACTTAACCCAGTTTGAAAAATAACAATTTACTCTTTTAATTAGTATGTGAACCAAAAAAAGAATATTTGTTTTATTGCGTATAAAATATTTATAAGCCACAAATAATATTATTGTGTCAAAAAAACGTAACAGAAATTATAATATTATATTATTACTTATTAATGTCATTACTATTATATTATAACTGTATAATATAGATACCTCAATCTAACCTTAGAGCTTACAATAATAATATTAATAAATGCATGAAACCATTTAAACCAACAATTTCAAAAACAAACCATTTTTAATTTTAACTTAATGGATTATTTTTAAATAACTACAAAAAAATTATATTATTCCATATATTAATTAAACCAGTTAAGTTCTTAAGTTAATAATAAAATATCAAATAAACTTTTAAGTGAAGTCAAAAATTAACGAGGTGCCTTTGTTATAAATGTATAATGCCCATATTTGCAACTCTACCTATACATAATCTATATATAACACACCATAATCTATATACAACATTATAAAACGTATTTAATTATACAATTATTAAGACTATAATAATCACATTACGCAGACACGGATTCTTTTGACAACGACCAGCTAAACATGCACCAGGCGTGGTCGGACCTGAGTTACATTGAACATGAACAAGAGAGATATGTGGCGCTGAGGTCCAAGACAGTGAGCGAGCTGGACGCGGTGCGGCAACAGGCKGTGGCCTTAGAAAATGTAATATGCGAGTGACATAAGCCCTCGGCTTTCGAGAAAAATCCGCAAATATGTTTATAAAAAATCCGTTTTTTTTTTCTCCCCAGAACCTTCCGAAACGTTTAGATTCGGAGACGGAACGTGAGCTGCTCTCGTTGATATGTCGCGTACACGAATTGGAAGCAGACAAAATGGCGTTGCAAGGTGAACGATTAGTCGAGTCGTACGAACTACGCCGCAGAGGAGATCTGTTGCACAAGATGCACAGACAACAGCGCATCACCGACGACATTATCACGAAACAGCGGCAGATCATCGAAGGTATAATATATTTATGTATTAATGCGTATAATGTGTTCTTATATATAGTCATGTTGAGGTTGCACCCTCTGAGGAGGTGGATATGTGGAATGAGATGATTCACTTTAGCTATTATAGGTATTATAGGTACTTAAGTAGTTACTATCTTGGAGACAATTATGAAAAAATTCATTATACTAATGGTGCGGATAAATGTTTAGTAGGTATCCACAGTAGCATTATATTTTATAAAGTATTTAAGTATTTATAAGTTAAACTATGTTTAAAAATAAGTTTAACTGCACAGCAGTTATGTTTAACAAAACCTTGAAGATTTTCGGGCGAATAAGTTAATATTTTTTATAGTCAGATTATTTTCCCCTCATCATAGGTACATTATTTATTACATACATGATATATATAATTAACGTAAATATGAAATGTATGGACTATGAGCGGGGTTAAAACTTGAATGGTAGGACCTGTACATTGTATTTCATATTTTCGTAGATTAAAAAAATTGTTAAGTTGGAAGATGTAAGTAAGTATAAATTCATTACTTTATAATAAATAGATGTTTATATTATTACCTCCATTCAAAAATGCATTGTGTTTTTCATAATATATTTTAACTTTTAAGTTTTATATGCATATTGGCAGTTAGTATATGTTTATAAAATATTGTACTAAATGCTGTCAATAAGAGACTGGAGAAAATACGTATACCCGAACCAAAAATATAGAAAAAAATTGTATTTATAATATATGAAAAGGTTTTTTTTATAGTGATTGGATTTCTAATTTATCAGGTCAAAACGTTCCGTTACCGACCGATCTGAAAGAACTGTACCGGTCGTACCAACAAGAAATACACGCCAACTCATACAACACGGACGTGAACGCTATACCACTAACGTCCACCATGCAGTCAATCGATCGGAGGTACACATCGTTGTAATTAATAATAAATTCGAACCTAAACAAATATTCAAAAAATAGTTATATTTAAATGACATTAAATCAATGTTATTAATAGCCTTATATTGGCGGTACTTTGACTGCATTTCATCTAATCTTCATAATTGAACAGTAAAATAAAAAAAGTATCTCATTAAAAATAATTAGGCATATAATTTTAAAAAAAATTTTAAATTATAATTTTTTTTTTTTAATATTGTTTAACACTAACACATTGATTAAATATAGTATATTTATTTTAATTAACGAATTACGTCAATTTATGTATATACAAATATCTACCCCAAGATTATAATAATTATACTCGTGGTCCCCGCTGATAATGCAATATATCTTATATATATTTTCTTATAGCATAGGGGTATGCTGGCTGTAATATATGCARTTAAATATGTCTTAATGTCTTATCCTATGGCTCAGCATTATACTCGCTATAATGTCATGATAAATTCCAGATCGTAGTACACAATTTTAATATGAACTAAAATTATAGTCAAGAGTGCCTTACTAATAATATGTGCTATAAATTGCAGCTTCGAGAAAACATCTATCGACGACCAGCCGGAAAAAAATCGGACGTATACCGCTGAAAGTCGCATTCAACCAATTACGCCGGAATCGAGACTAGGCACAACCTCGAGGTACCTATAAACAGTATATACCTATAGTGTATACAAAGTGATTCAACTAAMATGAAAACTCCATTTTCCTTTAATAATAAATTTATTTAAATTCTGATCTTAGACATTTTTATTTTTTAAGTATAAAAGTACCTACCTATAGGATTACATTTTCAAATGGTTAGATTATTTTATACCATTTAAGGTGAGTACTTTCTGGCGATGGCAAACTTCTCTTTTTCAAAATCATAATCACCCTTTTTCTTTCAAATTGTATGCATATCTAACTTTTTTGAAACTGTTAATATATCATACCAAAACTTGAACAAGTAGTTTTTGGTTGTTTAATTTTATACATACTATTTAAAGATAACAAGAGCATAATATAGGGTCATGAAATATTGATATGGCGAAAAGTTATGACAGATTCAAAATTGTATTAATCTATTAGCATTTTATTTTTTTTTTTAATTGTATGAACTTAATATGTAAGTATATCTACTAGATTAAATTAATTTTATATTTATGTAAAATCAACTATATATTATAATACTCGTTTTAATTTCGATTAAAATTGTACAAAAGTTATCTGTTTACCAATTTTCAATGGAAATGGTTATCTCAGTTCCAAAAATTAGAATTAAAATAAATTATGGATGTGAGCATGTTATGTGAATCACTTTGTATATTGTATATGTATACTTTATTTTTATACACACGCAATATTATTTTCCTACTAATTGATATGAAACTTAAAGACAGAAGACTGTAAAAGAAAAATAAATAACTTAGTTAAGAGTATGAAATTCCACGGACATAAAATGATTTTATTTACTTTTCATATTAATAGCCAACAATTATTATACTTCTTGAAAACCATTTCACATACCTACTCAGCACTCGCTTCGTTTATTGGGTTTCTATCTCGTATAAATTATAATTATTTACGGCGTGTGTTATATTTATTTGTCTATATTATTAATTTTGATTATTATTATAAGTTAATAAACAAAAAAAATGTCATATATTTTTCTTCAAAACGTTGAAATTTTTAATTTAAACGTTCTTCTAATGCAATTTAATGTATCATTAATAATTTTTATTATATTAAAAAAAAAAATGAAAGATTGAATAACTCCAAGTGAATGAAAAAATCGTGAATTATACGATTGCAGCTCTCAATAAGCAAATTAATAAAGGACTTATTTGGAGCAACTTTTGGGGGAAACTGTAGGACACAAGACAAATGTTTATGCATAAACGCTGGAGAAAAATCAAGGAATGTCCATTAACGTTTTACAGACATATTGYACTGTACGAAAGACAACAAAAAGATTGCGGTGGAGTATCGGACCAGGACACCGTGCAGTGATCGAGCCTGTAGCTGCAGGGGTTCTAGTTGAACAGCTACGACGGCATAATGCACTAAAACAGTGGGGCGCAACCTTTTTTGATCCACGACCCCCCAAAATGATTTATTTTGATGATACGACCCCCATTCCTACCAACTTTATATGTAACTGTATAATATAAATTTACTTAATAGTCTTAATGTATACAAACATTTTATTCATACACATCAAATCGTTAATTTTAGGCAATTTTAATATATTTTCTTTAATTTAATCAATCAAAGACATGAAAAAAAAATCAAAATTAGAATTTTATAAAATTTAAAATTACAAAATGGATTATTATTRTGATAGAAAAAATTTTAATATTTTTAAAATTATAAAATTACTATTTCATTATTTTAATGAGACCKGYAGAGCTTGCATTGTAGACATGAATACWTGATTGATTYTATGTTTGGTTCTATATTTGACACTGCTACTCTTAGATTAGCTTCAACATTTAGTCTGGAGCAGTGGAGTAATATTTATTTTTAATTGTCGTTAGTGTTGAAAATGCTGTTTCGCATAGATAAGTTGATGCAAAAGTACCAAAAATTGATATGGCTTGTTTTAATAATTCTGGATATTCAGATTTGACGGAAATCCAAAATGTTTTTGATTAGGTAAATAAAATTACCGATTAAATTCAACTTAAAAATAACCCATATAGGTACTGCGTGATTCAATTGAAGTTGTTATCACAACATTAAGATATTATGACATAATATTACGATTGACACAACCATCGATAGTACAAAATAATTTTACTTTATATAAAACTATAAAATAATATAGGTACATAGCAGTATAATATAACTTTTTCATTTGGTGTAAAATTATTGGCGACCCCCTAATAAAATTTCGTGACCCCCAGGTTGCGCACCACTGAAGTACAACACACGACCGACTGCAGTTTAGCCGGAAGTAGTGACGACGGAACAAGATGATGTGGTGCTCGACCCTAACTATGGCATCATACAGCAGTCACAAAGACAGGAGTAGCAATATTAGCAATATTAGTAGAGTAGCAATATTACAAGTGTAAAAATCAGACGTTGCCGAAGGACAACAATCACGGAAATACTGACCACATTCGTGATACCAGTACGTGTTCGTTCCATGGGTAGGCGGGTCGGACTAGAAAGCTTGGCTGCAGATCGGGTGCACGTTAGACCCAAAGATGGTGATAGGAGGAACTTTTTGAAGTTACGGTGAAGAGTAAGAA